AAAGTGGCGACAATTTCGCAGATCGCAGCCCCTCAGGGACGGCGAGGTCCCGCTCAGGTCCGCGCGGTGCCTCATTCCACAAGACCCACCAACAGCCCTCGAAAGTGGCAGCAGTTTCGCAGATCGCAGCCCCCCGGGGACGGCGAGGTCCCATTCGGGTCCGCGCGGTGCCTCGCACCGCAGGACCCACCGGCAGCCCTCGAAAGTGGCGACAGTTTCGCAGATCGCAGCCCCCCAGGGACGGCGAGGTCCCGCTCAGGCTCGCGCGGTGCCTCACTCCGCAGGACCCACCAGCAACCCTCGAAAGTGGCGACAGTCTCGCAGATCGCAGCTCCCCAGGGACGGCGAGGTCCCGCTCAGGTCCGCGCGGTGCCTCACGCCGCAGGACCCACCAGCAACCATCGAAATTTGCGACAGTTTCGCAGATCGCAGCCCCCCAGGGACGGCGAGGTCCCGCTCAGGTCCGCGCGGTGCCTCACTCCGCAGGACCCACCAGCAGCCCTCGAAAGTGGCGACAGTATCGCAGATCGCAGTCCCCCAGGGACGGCGAGGTCCCGCGCAGGTCCGCGCGGTGCTTCACTCTGCAGGACCCACCAGCAGCCCTCGAAAGTGGCGACAATTTCGCAAATCGCAGCCCCCCAAGGACGGCGAGGTCCCGCTCAGGTCCGCGCGGCGCATCACCCTGCAGGACCCACCAGCAGCCCTCGAAAGTGGCGACAATTTCGCATATCGCAGCCCCCCAAGGACGGCGAGGTCCCGCTCAGGTCCGCGCGGCGCCTCTCTCCGCAGGACCCACCAGCAGCCTTCGAAAGTGGCGACAGTTTCGCCCACCAGGGACGGCGAGGTCCTGTTTGGATCCGCGGTGAGTACCCCCCTCTCTGCTGGCCTCCCCAGCAGCCCTCGAACGTGGCGACAGTTTCGCAAATCGCAGCCCCCCCAGGGATGGCGAGGTCCTGTTTGGATCCGCGGTGGGTACCCTCTCTGCTGGCCTCCCCAGCAGCCCTCGAAAGTGGCGACCGTTTCGCAGATCGCAGCCCCTCAGGGACGGCGAGGCCCCGTTTGGATCCGCGGTGAGTGCCCTCTCTGCTGGCCTCCCCAACAGCCCTCGAAAGTGGCAACAATTTCACAGATCGCAACCCCCCAGGGACGGCGAGGTCCCGTTTGGATCCGCGGTGAGTGCCGTCTCTGCTGGCCTCCCCAGCAGCCTTTGAAAGTGGCGACAGTCTCGCAAATCGCAGCCCCACCAGGGACGGCGAGGTCCCGTTTGGATCCGCGGTGAGTGCCCTCTGTGCTGGCCTCCCCAGCAGCCTTTTGGAAGCGGCAGCAATTTCACAGATCGCCCCCCCCCCCCAAACACGGCGAGATCACGTTTGGATCCGCGGTGAATGCCTTCTCTGCTGGCCTCCCCAACAGCCCTCGAAAGTGGCAACAGTTTCACAGATCGCACCCCCCCAGGGACGGCGAGGTCCCGTTTGGATCCGCGGTGAGTGCCCTCTGTGCTGGCCTCCCCAGCAGCCTTTGGAAGCGGCGACAATTTCACAAATCGCAGCCCCCCAGGGACGGAGAGGTCCCGTTTGGATCCGCGGTGAGTGCCTTCTCCGCTGGCCTCCCCAGCAGCCCTAGAAAGTGGCGACAATTTCACAAATCGCAGCCCCCCAGGGGCGGCGAGGTCCCGTTTGGATCCGCGGTGAGTGCCCTCCCTCTCTGCTGGTTTCCCCAGCAACCCTCGAAAGTGGCGACCGTTTCACAGATCGCAGCCCCCCAGGGACGGCGAGGTCCCGTTTGGATCCGCGGTGAGTGCCCTCTCTGCTGGCCTCCCCAGCAGCCCTCGAACGTGGCGACAGTTTCACAGATCGCAGCCCCCCATGGACGGCGAGAGGAGACAAGAGGGAGGCGGGAGGCGGGAGAAGGACGCGACCACACCCCTCAATTCAAAACGAATACCCAACCAAGGAGGGTTGGGAAAAAGGTACGAGCATGTTGCCCCCCCTTTTTCCTTCTGCGCGCTCACTTCGCCCCCCTGTCCCCCCCGACGCCAGTTTTTCTCAATCTTCCCCCATCCCCCCAAGATGGTTCCAGGAGGCCTCTACGAGGCTCCTTAGACAACTTGCCTGGGCATCAGTTATGAACGAAACTTGTGCGCAGCTGGATGAGTTCCCAATGGCGGATGGGATTCGGTTCCCCGCGTATCTCTGAAGGCGGAGGTTCTACTGCATGCATCTACAGATCCCGGATCACAAGAACGCGCCTGGCGATGTTTTTGGATTGGCAGGCGGGGATACTTTCTTGATTCGCGGCCCGCAAGGAAAAGTCCAAAGGGCGGTAAGAACGAGGCTGGGACACAGCGCGCGGGAAACATATAATTAACGGCGCAGCACCGTGCCGGCCAAGAAGCAGCTGAGCGTGTGCCAGCAGCAGAGAAAAGTACCGCTGAACATCTGCCAGCGATGGAAGCGATTAGGAACACCGGCCGCTGAGCGTATGCCAGGGAGGGAAGGGGTAGGCAGAAAAGGCCGGACCCGCTGGTGGCCCGGACTGCCAGGCGAAACGTGCCATCCACTCATTCACTTGGAACGTTGGCCAGCCTGTACGCCGCCGACGGGAGTTCGGGCCAAAACCTGGTAAAGGTCGACCACACTGGAAGCGCCCGCGATGGCCCTGGTACCAAGGCAATGTGCGGCTTGCGCATCTCGAAGGCACTCCTGTGACTGTACGACTCCCGGGCGCCAAAAAGGTGCCTGACCGACGTACAGGCGGGGATACGCGAAGCGTCAAACATTGGTTCCCGAATCACCCAGTGGACAACATTCTGGCAAGGGGGGGAAGAAGGAAGGAAGACAAAACAGGCGCAGGGGAGAAGGGATGATGGCTAAGAAAGGGAGGATGGAGACGCTCTTCCGCCCACCCCCCGAATGCCCCTGGCACCTTTCAGGGAGAGGGAAAGGAGGAGGGGGTCGCGAGGAGGGGGACAACGCAAAGCGAAAGTTCATCGGTCCTTATATGCAGCATAGGTTTGTGCTTGGGGCATGCGCGCTTTCTTTCACGCATTACAAATCCGACCCATACTCAATTCACGGATTCCTCAAAACTGTGTAAACCCTTTGTATTCCGCTGCCCGTGCTATAGAACTGACCCACAACAGAGGGGCAGTGGATTGCAACGCAGGGGCGAGGTGCCCAGGTGCGACAAGCCTGAAAGAGGAAGGGGGGCTGGCCGTGCAAGCGGGTGCAGAGGGGTCCCGAGGCGGGAACGCCAACTGACAGAGACTTGCAATGACTTGGGCCACGGCGGCGGGCGCGCCAGGAGCACGGAGGGGACAAGAAAAGCGGGCGACGCCACGCCAGCCACCCAGATGGCGACAGGAGGGGGCGGGTGGGCGCGCCCAGGAAGGGTGACCGAAACCGCGCCCCCCCCCCCCGAAGCGGATTGCGGCAGACGTGCCAACATGTGGTGGCAACGGTCGAACTCTTGTCACGTACTTCTCGCGATCGCCAAGGTCCAGCGAACCAACGAAGAAACGGGGAGCAAACCCGAACCGAGAGAAGAGCAGGGACGGCGGCCATGGCGGAACAAAGATCAAAGGCCCGCGGCGCCAGCAACTGCACACACACGCGCACACACACACACGCGCACACAAACACAAACAGCAACACCGACGCCCCCCGCGGCCTCCCCCCCCCCCGCACACACGCACACACACACGCACACGCACACGCACACACAGACACACAGACACACAAGCACACAGACATACACACCGGCACAACGGCACAAACACAGACAGGGACACACACACACAAACAAACACACACACACACACACTCACACACGTACGCACACAATGGATACTCTCTCTCTCACGCACACACCAGACACACACACACACACCAGACACACACACACACACACATACGCACACACACACACACGCACACACGCACACACTCACACACGCACGCACACACTCACACAGTCCTCACACGCACACGCACACGCAAGAACACAGACGCACACACACACACACACACACACACGCACACACACACACACACACGCAGACACACAGACACAACACGTGCAGACACACAGAAACACAAGCACACAGGCGCACACACACACACACGCAAACACAAAAACACACACATACACATAAACGCGTTTCCTCTTTTGGCGAGGTGGCGGCACCGTCGCGAATGCATCACACAACAACTCGCCGTTTGGGCCCCACCGCCAGCCCGAACGGCGAAAATTAGCCTGGCGAAGGGCCCAACCATATGCAGTTGTGAATGCCGCAATTGTGCTGGGCGGTGGCGGACGCATGCGGGCGGTGCCACTGGGACCTTCGGTGGAGCTCCCTATGGGGCCACGAAACGCTGTACTGGGTGGGTGAGACGCGGTCAGCAAGGGCTGTGCTGCGTGGTGGCGGACGCATGCGAACGGTGCCACTGGGACCTTCGGTGGAGCTCCATATAGGGAGCAAGGGCTGCGCAGGGTGGTGGCGGACGCATGCGGGCGGTGCCGCTGGGACCTTTGGTGGAGCTCCCTATAGGGCTACGAAGCGCTGTTCTGGGTGGGTGAAGCGCAGGGAACAAGGGCTGTGCTGGGTGGTGGCGGACGCAAGCGGGCAGTGCCACTGGGACCTTTGGTGGAGCACCCTATGGGGCCACGAAACGTGCGAGGGGTGTGCCAGAATGGGGTGTGGAACCGCATGCCAGCGCAGCCACCGGGGCCTTCGGTGGAGCTCCCTATGGAGCCACGACGCGTGTGAGGGGTGTGCCGAAATGGGGGGTGGAACCGCATGCGAGCGCAGCCACTGCGGCGTTCGGTGGAGCTCCCTATGGGGCCACGAGACTTTTTTTTTGGGGGGGGGGCCACCGTCGGCTTGACCAGTCTTCCGCTGCCCTCCGCGGGCGCCTCGCCAGGCCGTCGCCAGCGCTGAGGAACGCGGAGCGGGGAGCTCAGATGAGCTCGAAAACCCTGCCGAAGAGGACCGCGCCGAGCTACCGCCTCGGCTGCCGCAGCGTCCGCACCGCGCGGCGCAGCTCCTCGGCCTCCATCTCGACGTTGTCGCGTGGCTCGTAGGCAACCCCATGTCGCCCAGCGCCAGCTCCGTCGAGACGAACGCGCACGATGGTGTCGCCTGCGCTGAGGACGCTGCCACCGCCCCCTGCGTTCTGTCCCTTCGTGATGCGCACGCGGTCGCCCACCTTCATCGTGATGGGGTTGACGATGCCCTCCCGCTCCGCCCCGTCGAGGACACCGTGCACCGCGTTTTCGGTCTTCTCCTCAGAAGCGCCCTCGCCGACCTCTGCCTGGTACGCCACCATCGTAGCGTGGTTGACGCCCTCCTGCTCCTTCGGCATGCCCTCGCGCTCCTCGAAGAGAGCCTCCACGCCCGCCTGGCCGCCGCCCTCTAAGGTAACGTTGGCGATGGTGTCCAGGTCTTCTTGCTTGCCCTCGATTGTGCGAGTGCCAGCGTCGTCCTTGAATTTGTCCTGCAGCTTATCCTCCTGCAGGGTTGCGCATATGCTGAGGCAAAGGTTGACGCTGCCCTGCTGCGCCTCCAACGTCGCCTCGATCACTTCACACCCGATTGTCTTCATCGCGACGGGGTTGCCGATGTCCTCCAGCACCTTCCGCCTGCCATCGACCTTCCCGATGTTGACCTCGACCTTCTCGTTTGCCTTCATCGTGATGGGGTTGGTGATGCCCTCCACCTCGTTCCGCTTGCCGTCGACCTGGCAGTCGTCAGCCCGCAGTGGCCCGTCCACACAGGGGAGGGTGTCGTGCACCTCCTTCTCGATGTACGCGTTGCCACCGTCCTCAATTGTGTCGTCGACGATGGTGTTCAGCTCGTTCTGCTTGCCCTCGAACTTTCGAGTGCCAGCACCTCCAGCCATCCACTTCGCGCCTCTTCGAGCGCCGCTTCGGCTCCGCCCGGATGCCTCAGCAGCGCTGCTGCCGCATCCACTTCGCGCCACCTCCGCGCCCAGTGCGACGGGGGAGGAGCCCCCTTAGCCCGCAGCGCCTGGAGGCCCTTGGCCAGCGTTGCCTCGCCCAGCGTGGCCACAACCTCTGCAGCTGCGCCGAGCACACGCTGCGCCTCCCCGTCGAGGGAGGGCCGCGCGGCGCCGCCCGCTGCCGCCGCCGTCCGCCCGCTGCCGGCCACCTGGCGCACCAGCAGCGCGGACATGAGCTCCGCAGCTTCGTCGACCGTGGCGAGGGTGGCGCACGCCGCCCCATGCCGCACGACGATGCCTCGGCTCGCACCGCCACGCCCGCCGCGCGCCATCGCAGCCCAGGCGTGGGGGGGAACCGCACCGCCCGACGAAAGCCGAGGAGGCGCGAGGGCACCCGAGAGCGCCACCGTCTTGAGCCAGAATGGCTACGGGTGGGGCCACGAGACGTGTGAAGGGCGTGCCGAAAAATGTGGTGGAACCGCATGCGGGCGCAGCCACTGGGGCCTTCGGTGGAGCTCTCTATGGGGCCACGAACCGTGTGAGGGTGTGCCGAAATGGGTGAGGGGGAACCACATGCGAGCGCAGCCACTGGGGCGTTCGGTGGAGCTCCCCATGGAGCCACCCACGAAACGTGTGAGGGGTGTGCCGAAATGGGGGGTGGAACCGCATGCGGGCGCAGCCACTGGGGCCTTCGGTGGAGCTCCCTATGGGGCCACGCGTGTGAGGGGTGTGCCAGAATGGGGGGTGGAACCGCATGCGGGCGCAGCCACTGGGGCCTTCGGTGGAGCTCCCTATGGGGCCACGAAACGTGTGAGGGGTGTGCCAGAATGGGGGGTGGAACCGCATGCGGGCGCAGCCACTGGGGCCTTCGGTGGAGCTCCCTATGGGGCCACGAAACGTGTGAGGGGTGTGCCAGAATGGGGGGTGGAACCGCATGCGGGCGCAGCCACTGGGGCCTTCGGTGGAGCTCCCTATGGGGCCACGAAACGTGTGAGGGGTGTGCCAGAATGGGGGGTGGAACCGCATGCGGGCGCAGCCACTGGGGCCTTCGGTGGAGCTCCCTATGGGGCCACGAAACGTGTGAGGGGTGTGCCAGAATGGGGGGTGGAACCGCATGCGGGCGCAGCCACTGGGGCCTTCGGTGGAGCTCCCTATGGGGCCACGAAACGTGTGAGGGGTGTGCCAGAATGGGGGGTGGAACCGCATGCGGGCGCAGCCACTGGGGCCTTCGGTGGAGCTCCCTATGGGGCCACGAAACGTGTGAGGGGTGTGCCAGAATGGGGGGTGGAACCGCATGCGGGCGCAGCCACTGGGGCCTTCGGTGGAGCTCCCTATGGGGCCACGAAACGTGTGAGGGGTGTGCCAGAATGGGGGGGTGGAACCGCATGCGGGCGCAGCCACTGGGGCCTTCGGTGGAGCTCCCTATGGGGCCACGAAACGTGTGAGGGGTGTGCCAGAATGGGGGGTGGAACCGCATGCGGGCGCAGCCACTGTGGCCTTCGGTGGAGCTCCCTATGGGGCCACGAAGCGTGTGAGGGGTGTGCCAGAATGGGTGTGGGAGGTGGAGGAGGGGGGAGGAAGGGGAGGAGGAGGAAGGAGGAAGGAACGCGGGGCGACGTCTCTTCAAAACGAGGACCCAACACCACAGGATGGTTGGGAACAAATCGGGCGTAGCCCCGCACGTAATCGAATGCTTACACTTCGTCTTCGTACTACCCGTATTCCTCCATATTTTCCACCCCATCCTGATCGTCGTCGTCGTCGTCCTCCTCCTCCTCCTCCTCCTCCTCCTCCTCCTCGTCCTCCTCATCCTCTTCGTCTCCCTCGTTTTCCTCCTGCTCTAGCTCTTCTTCGTCGTCCTCGTCCAGGACCGCGCCATAGGTTGCGCTCTCGGCATCGTAGAAAGGGCAATTGAAGCGAAACTCGCCGAATACCACTGTGCCGATGCGCATCGGAACCTGGGATCGATACTAGATGTCCGGCAGAGCGGCCGATGGCGGACATGCCCCAGGGAAAGGACAGAAGGGCGCGGGGTGGGGTCGAAAGCTCCTGGAGGGGGGGCGAGGGAACGGTGCACCGCCCCCTCCCAGTGGGGATGAGCTACAAGCTATGCGGGACAGAAAAACCCGACCCCCCTTCCATCCCTCACCGCGGCCTGAGTGGACCACCCAGGCAATCGGAGGGCGCCATAGGGGGCTGGGGGCCCATGTCGATGAGAGCAGGAAAAGGGGAGAGGGCGGAGGGAAGATAGGGCAGATGGAAACCCTTGTAGGCTTTGCCCGGCGTGCGAAATTGCAATTTTGGCGTACTGTGCGGGGGCGAACCCGCGCGTCGCTCGAAAGCGACTGGGCGCTCCTGCTCGCTCGCGCGCGCATGCGCAAAGCAGGCGTAGGCAAGGCGCCGCGGACGCAGCGTTAAGAGATTGAGTTCGCGCTCAAGAACGGAGTCGCAATTTTTGCGGGATCACCACCGCGATATTTTCAAACGGCTGGATGCGCGGGAGCGTCCGTGGCGAAGTGAACGCTGGTCGCGCTCGAAGCGGGACGCCCCAAGACTGGCGAAACGCAGCGAGGCGCATGGCGCCTCGCTGACCGGATGCTGCATGGGAGTGGATAGCGTGGCGAGGCCACGCTATCCACTCCCATGCAGACTGCCGAAGACTGCGAAATGAAACGCGCACGTTCGCGGTCTGTCGTCGTGACGTGGACGCGAGCGCAAGGCGGAGCGCGTGAATTTTCCCTGGGTCCAAATCGCACAGATAGTTGAGAGATCGGCCGTGGCCGCCGATATATTCGCACATGTTAGCCACCAGTGGCACGAATTGCAAGTACCATGCAGCACTGCAATCTGCAATGGTGCAGTTGCGTGTTGATGGAAGGTACAGCATGTCGTGGATGCTTTGCCTGCGCGGTGCGATGCGTGACCCCCATATTTGTTCTCTGGGGCCGGCGGCAGAAAATAACACAGTCTCCGATCGGTTGCGCCATGGGTTGCGCCCTGGGCGGCCCAAAATAAAACAGTCTCCCGTCGGTTGCGCCGTAGGTTGCGCTCTCGGCGGCCCAGAATAAAACCGATTCTTATCGGGTGCGCCATAGGTTGCGCCCTCGGCGGCCGTGAATAAAATCGTCGTATCGGTTGCGCCCTCGGCGGCCGAGAATGAAACCATCTCCGATCGGTTGCGCCATATGTTGCGCCCTCGGCGGCAGAGAACAAAAAACGCTTCCTATTGGTTGCGCCATAGGTTGTGTCCTCGGCGGCCGAGAATCCACCGGCCCCCTTGTGGGGCCACCAGGCTGTAGGTCTAAGGTTTGCAGTTTCATGTACCAGTTGCAGCTTCCAGTTTCCACTGTTACAGTTCTGCTTCTTGCTGCTTACTGCTCCTTGATACAATTCTGCTTTTTGCTGCTTACTGTTCCTTGTTGTGCGCGAGGGGGGGAGGCCCCAAACGGACATTTTTACCACGCCCTGAGCGTGTTGTCTGAATTGCTAGGGTGGATACAAAATAACACCCCTCACACAGATCGGCGGGGTCAAGGTCCAAAAACACTCAGGATTCGCCACATTCATGAAATTCGGTGGCACCCCTCACGCAGATCGGCGGGGTCAGGGTCCAAAAACACATGGGATTTGCTACATTTCTGACACTCCGTGGCACCCCTCGCGCAGATCGGCGGGGTCAGGGTGTTAAAACACATGGGATTTGCCACATGTCTGACAATCGGTGGCACCCCTCACGCAGATCTGCGGGGTCAGGGTGCAAAAAGAAACAGAATTTGCTACATTTCTTAATATCGCTGGCACCCCTCACGCAGATCTGCGGGGAGGGTCAGGGTCCAACACCACATGGGATTTGCCACATTTCTGAAATTCGGCGGCACCCCTCGCGCAGATCGGCAGGGTCAGGGTCCAAAAACACATGGGATTTGCCACATTTCTGAAATTCGCTAGCGCCCGTGATGCAAATCCGTAGGGTCAGGGTCGAAAAACAAACAGGTCCAGACCTCATGATTTAGCTTTCGCATCTCACATTATCCGAGACAAGGGGTCGGCGGCATGGGGCGAAGCCCTTACGGATAAAAAACCGTCTCATTTCGGTTGCGTCATAGGTTGCGCCTTCGGCGGCCTAGAATTAAACCGCCTCCTATCGGTTACGCCATGGGTTGCGCCCTCGGCGGCCGAGAATTAAACCGTCTCCTATCGGTTGCGCCAAAGGCTGCGTCCTCGGCGGCCGAGAATTCAGTCGTCTCCTATCGGTTGCGCCACCGGTTGCGCCCTCGGCGGCCGAGAATTCAGTCGTCTCCGATCGGTTGCGCCATAGGTTGCGCCCTCGGCGGCAGAGAATAAAACCGCCTCCTATCGGTTGCGCCATAGGTTGTGCCTTCGGCGGCCGAGAATAACTTCGTCTTCTATCGGTTGCGCCATAAGTTGCGCCCTCGGCGGCCGAGAATAAAACTGTCTCCCGCCAAAAACTGCGCCCTCGGCGGCCGAGAATAAAGCCGTCGCGAAACGGCTGCGACCAGTCTGTCCAGTTCAGGTCAGCTCAGTTCAGTTCAATTCAATCAATTTACATCGTGAAAAAACAAATTCGGGCTACGACCGACATGATAACAAAAGAAACTAAATACCGAATACTTACCACCCGGCATTGCATGTGGACGTCGGGCGGGCGGACCATATTCACACACTTTTCCTCCAGCGGCTAGGTGGCGGCGCCGTCGCGAGTACTAAGCCAGGGCACGAACTGCACTGAAACGCCGTGACTCTACGACACATCGGCAGCAATGCTGGGTGGACTGTGTAGGCGATCGCGTGCAGAACAAAGAGCGCAGAAGCGTGGCGTGCACGTGGGGAACGCTGGTAGGCGAGGATGCAAACATGCAGGATAACGAATAGGCCGAGTGTCACCCTGCAGTAGCTGGGCGCACCGAAGCGTGACAGCGGCGACTGCGAGCCAGACAAAGGCGCCTATGGCAGCGCACGGTGTTCTGGCAGAACCTCCAAGACAGCCCGACTGCAGGGGAGAGCCTGGCCGAAAAGCTAGAAGAGGTCGGGCAGGCGCAAGCAAACCCTAGCCACAGGCCGAGCCACCCAGAAGAAAGCAAGGGAGCGAGGGCGGACGGCAGTGTTCACACACGGACACGCACACCTTTCACACACACGTTGAAACACACAATCAAGGTCCGACACGCTCAAGGAGTTTTAATATGTAACTCGCATCAGCTGGCAGATGCAAGCGTTCAGCGAGGAAGGGATTTTCGCGAGCAGCTGCAAAGTGAATTTCTCCATGTTGGGCGGGCGCTGGAAGCCCGCTGGACGACATGGCCAACTCGCAGCATGGTGACGCGGCCGCAGCCACTCCTGGATCTGCCCGCGTGGCTAGGAGGGGAACGGACAGAGTACGAAGAGAAGGAACTGGCGCACGGGGGGGTGAAATTCGAGCTGGCGGGGAAGGACGAGGAGGGGGGGGAAGTGAAGCGGAATGCGGGAAGAGGAGCGGGATACGGGGGGGGGAGGAGGAACCGAAGGAGAAGGAGAAATAATGAAGAGGACAAGTGGAGGAGGACAAACTAGGTGTGCTCGCGCCTCAGACATCCTATACTTCGGTCCGGCAGCAACGACTATAGGCGGTCCACCGCCACATCGAGCAAAGAAACTCAAGCCTAAACAAAAACATCAACAAATCTCTAAGCCAAAACCTGCGAAAATTTCACCCCCCCCAGCAAACTTCAAACATCTCTAAGCCCAAACCTGCGAATAGTTCAGCCCCCCCCAAGCAACTGCGAAACATATGTAAGCCAAAACCTGGAAACATCTCAAACCCTAAAACAACTGTCGAACACATGTAAGCCAAAACCTGGAAAGTCTCAATATCTAAAAACACCTGAAACATATTCAAGCCGAAAGCTGGGACAAATAACTCACCCCCCAACAACACTTGCAACACAAACTCTAAACACACTCTCAGAAAACTCCACAACAGCTCTAACATACTCGTTGAACAAACTCTAAACGCTTAAAAGCTGTGACCAACTCTTGAAACAACTGGGAAAACTATAAACACATGAAAACTCTAAAACAACCTCTGGGACAACTTACCAATGATTTAAACAACTCTAAACACTCTAAACACATAGCTGCCCGCCTGACAAACTCTAGAACACCTCTGGAAACAATTCTAAACAACTCTACATGCAGACCCTGGTGGCCTCGGAAACTTTGAGCAAACACTTAGAACACATCTCTAACGATCTGACCGTTTTGTTAAGCTTTCAAACGTGCATGTTTGTTTGATGTGCCTGCGACAAGTTCTTGTTGTTTTCGGGAGTTTCGGTTTCCAGTGTTTTGGGGGGTTTGAGATTTCCCATGTTTTGGCTTAGATATTGTTTCAACTTGTTTTGGGAGCGATTTTCCCAAGTTTTGGTTTAGAGATTGTTTCAAGTTTTTGGGTGGTTTGAATTTCTGGTTGACGATTTCCCGAAGATTTTGGCAGGTTTCCCAGTGGACCTCCTGTAGTATAATTGCCGAACCTACTCCTATACATCCCTCCCATCCCTTCCCATGGCGCTGCTTTTTCATTATCCACATCCACGGACGCGTGTCATAACCGACCTGGGACTCCCACAAAGAAACAACTTCGTGATATGCGCAATCGGAAAAAGGGGAGCTGCATGCACAGGAGGAGGTGGCGGTTGAACAAGAGGACGAGTGGGAAGAAAAGATGATGACCAACAACAGCAGCAGGAACTAAAGCGGAATAATGGGAGGACCAGGGGAAGGCGGAGGATGGGAAAAAAACGTGGGCGACAACGATGAAGAAAGACTCGTAATCAAACAAGTGGCCCGCGCTGGTGTGAGACGCGCGGCAGAAACAGGAACTGGAATGGAAAGAGCGGAAGGAACAGGAGGACCAGTGGAAGGCGGAGGAGGGGAAATTGAGGGGGGACCACAATGAAGTAAGACTCCGATCTAGAAAAGTGGCCCGCGCTGGGGCGAGAGCGCCATTCTGAACGACGGGAGCAAAGCGCCGATCCGAGACTGAGGCCCACGCTGCAGCAGGAGCGCCACTTTGAAACACCGACAACAATCAGAATGTGAGACAAACATATAGAGCACAAATCTTGAGATCATGTGTGTAAAAATCAGCAGGCGGAGGGGGCGGGGTAATTATCTACCGGACACCTTCGGGGGAGGAGGGAGAGGAGGGAACGGCCAGTAGGGCGAGTGGGAAAATGGGGAAGATGGGGAGGAGGAGGAGGAGGAAGAAAGCATGAGAGGGGGAAGGGGAGGGGGGATGGGAAGAAAGATCAGCATGAACGGAGGAAGACGAAGGAGAAGAAAGAGGATGGGGAGAAGGGACAGTGGATGGGACGCAAGCGAGGCAAGCGAAACTACCCCGACACGAGCCGCGGTCACCGGCGGAGGGCGTCGCTGAAACCGGACATCGACGCCGGCTGAAGCACGCCCGCCAGCGCCGCCAGCGGGTTGGGCATGCCGGGCATGCCGTGCAGCGCGAACTGTCCCGCGGGCAAGCCCATCGGCCTGAAGGTCTCAGACATACTGCGATTGGAACAAGATCGAAACCATCGGTTGTAGTCATCTTGGGCCTACAACGGCCGGTTTCGGGCGCCGACAGCTGCCAAGAAACGAGTCGGGATGAAAAGCTGACACTGGAGAATCAGGTCGAGAAGTCCAAGACCGATGCCTCGAACATATGAAAGCGCCTGCTGTCTGGAAAAGGCCTCGCCCTCATGGGATCGAGAAACTGACCCCTCGTCCTGTCCTCGGCAAAGGCCAGCGGAAGGCCGACGGACCAAGAAGACGAGGTCGGCAACGCCGATGAAAACCTTATGAACACTCTGTCCTGAAACGGGTCGGATGGTCCAGGGCCCGTGGGCAAAATCAAGCTGCCGAGTCTGGTGAGCAACAACGCGCGGGAACGCAAGGCACGCGTGCGCATGATTCAATCGGAGTCGACTGTCTGAACTGGCTTCCTCCTCCCCTCCTCCTCCTCCTGCCCCATCCCACTCCTCGAAAGCTGCAGGCGGAGCGATGGCAAAGTCGTCGTTTCCATGCTGTCCAAATGCACAAGATCATACATCTTAGTGGCACACTCGCGCTGATCACCATCTACACGGATGGGTCGGATTCGGGGGTGCAGTCACCCACAGCCGCACTGCCAGGGGCTACCTGGGCAGTTGTTGCGCCCTGCGAGCACAGCGGTGCAGCTACAGCGATGCAAATATACTCCATGGTGGAATGGGTGCAAGAGGAGGACGAGCAAGAGAAAGACGATTTCGCAGGGATACGTCGTGTAAGCACGAGCGTGGACGGCAAGTGGGGGCCACGCTATCAGATCCCCATGTGATTATGGTACTCTGCGGGCACGCCTCTGTATCATAATACATCGTTCGCTGCGTCCTTACAATTTTTGAAGATGCTCGAAGATTAGTTGCGATAGGCGCGTCAAATCCACACAACGTCCCATATGATTAAGGCGCTGGCAAATTCTGACCGATCAATGTATTCCGTGCGATCGGGACCAGAATGGAACGTCACAAAAACAACGCAACGGAGTTCGGAGCCAGAGTGGACCTCGAACGATTGTTGCCGAAAACGAGTGGCAACGCGTGCAGCCTCACGACGCCTCTCCGAGCCCTGAACGCTACATAGCCCGAAAGCGCCACAAGTCGGTAACTTAGTGTACGTCTGTCTGGAACACGAATGAGCACTTTAGTTGACCACAACTCGCGACTGGCTGCGCGTTCATTCGGAAATTTCTTCGACGTCCGCCAAACTGTCAGAACAAGAATCGCCCGTATCGCCAACCCCAAACACCGACGACTGCTCCGAACTTCTTTTTTGTTGTTGCAATGTTGACCGCAGTGTTCAATGTATACGTTCCAACCCAATTGCGATCATCTCGCCGGTATCCAAAAACGCAACTGGAATTGTATAGCTAATCGGAAATGCGCTGGGTCCGCGTTGCCATGAAATGCGTTCAAGCAAGTTCGAAGGTGTTGGCCTTAGCGATAATACCGTCGACGAGAGGACACAAGAGACACGGTTGAAGATCTCGGCATGGTATATGACTTGTGCCACTAGCTTGAACACACGACTTCGCAAAGTCATTTCGACAAGAAAACCAATCAACACATACATACATGTGCATTTATCGCTGTTGTGATGCGTGCGTATGTCGAGTATGCGCCCTCTGAAGAAAGGATGACATATTAGCACGTCAGCCTCTGCCCACATGTCGTCAAGACTTCGAATCGATAAAAGTTTGAAAAGCACCGCGAAGCCTTCGCAGATTGGCACGCAAGTTGTGCCATCTCGCCCAATACTCTAGCCCTGAACAATACATTAGGCACCGATGACAAGACATCAAGCCTCACTACTTGTTGGGAACGAGAAGCACTATGTTGGATTGTATGTATTTACTGTTTTACGGAGGCGTACGTCCACGCCAGTGGTCAAGTTAGCCCGACACGTGACCTTTACTTTCAGGACCTTGCACACCGCCCCCCCAGCACACTGGCCGAAGGTTCCACTGCGCCCACAGCCCGCGGGGCCGCTCGGGACCCACAAACGCGGGCCCGAATCACGGAGGGACAGGCCAGCACCGATACACGGTGCACCTCCGAACAGGACGGGCAGCCAAGGGACCTCCCGAGGTCCCGAGGCACCCATCCCGTGGGAGGCCGACCACAGGTCCCACACAGACACCCTCGGCCACGCGCTGGAACGTGCGGCACCAGAAAGGCACACCCTGAAGGTCACCAGCTAACTCCTTTGGGCTTAGGGCACCAACCTGGAGTAGCTGGGGGCATCTATACAGAACAGTCTCCGCGTTCAGGGGCCGCGACGCGGCCCTGGACTACAGGGAGGTAGCGGGTGGGAGCCTTGGAAAGAGGCTACGGAAGGAGACGGCGTTCAACGATGCCCCCAAACAGTATTGCCTTACACAAGCGTAAACGGTCATACTGTTTTACGGAGGCGTACGTCCACGCCAGTGGTCAAGTTAGCCCGACACGTGACCTTTACTTTCAGGACCTTGCACACCGCCCCCCAGCACACTGGCCGAAGGTTCCACTGCGCCCACAGCCCGCGGGGCCGCTCGGGACCCACAAACGCGGGCCCGAATCACGGAGGGACAGGCCAGCACCGATACACGGTGCACCTCCGAACAGGACGGGCAGCCAAGGGACCCCCCGAGGTCCCGAGGCACCCATCCCGTGGGAGGCCGACCACAGGTCCCACACAGACACCCTCGGCCACGCGCTGGAACGTGCGGCACCAGAAAGGCACACCCTGAAGGTCACCAGCTAACTCCCCACGTCTCCAACCTTGGCGCCCACGCCGTCTAAGAGAAACTATTCTAAAAACTCTACAACCGTGAGGCTAACTTCCAGTCACCGCCTAGACTTAGGCATGGAAAGTCAGCGAAGCTGAGAGATATGTACACACAATCATGCAATGGGCACAAAGAGGGACGGCTGGATAGGGAATGGAATATGCACATTCAACGCTCACAAACTGACAAATTCACGGAGAATCTCGAGGCCGCATTGAACATTTGAACACTGTTCATCTTGCGGCCTGACCTTCACTAGGTCAGCAACTGCATCTTCAATATAAATTCTCGCAGTCAAAGTGCTGGCCCAGCGGCCTTTGACGAGTGTCTGCTCCATTGAGCCGGAGCGGCAGAAAAAGTCACTTGCTCCGCCTCGTCGGCAACTGTGCCAGCTGAAGAGGCCTCGAAAGCCAAGCGCTTCGGCCAAGCGCTGCAATCCTGCCCTCAGCTGGTTCGGCGACCTGGGCGAAAGCCTGTCTGAAGGCGCGAGATGGGCTACGACCAGTCGCAGCAGCCGCACACAGGCCTTAGACCGCACCACCACGGCCTCAGCTGCATCCTTGCCCGCCGTGGTCTTACTGCTGCCAATGCGGATGACCATACACGACGCACGATCATGAACGTCGCCTGCAGTGAGGCTGAAAGCTTCCCCTCCTCGCAGCATCGCTTCAAAGCTGACGAGAAGAAGGCAGGCGAAATCAAAGGCGCCTGCTGCGATGGCGTAGCCCGCCATGCCGCCGACCAGCTCCGCGGTCAGCGGGAGGACGCGCGCCGCAGGCTCTTGGCGGCGCCACGTCCGCAGGAGTGACCAGGACAAGTCGAGCTTCCTGCGCAAAGACGGGCAGAGGAAGGCCACGCCCGCGATGGTGTTGCTCGCCGCTGCAATGCCAGCGCCCTCAGCCCAGAGCCTCTCAAGGAAGCCAGCGACCAAGCCGTCCGCATCGTCCATGGCCAGTGCGAGCGCGGTCGTGCCACTCTCCTCAGCGCCGTAGTACTGCAAGAGCCTGCGGACCGCAACGGCATACCGCCTGCGGGTCGCCACCCCGACGCGGAGCGACGAGAGGGTGTGGGCGCGCGGGTCACGCCGCCTCACGGGCGGCCTGCACGGGCGGCCTTGCGCACCAAGGGCGCGCGACTGCCGCGCCCCCTGAGCCGCGAGCCACGCCACAGCTTTCTCGATGGCTCGTCGGCCGGATTGTTCTCTGACACGATGTAGCCGATCAGCGGGTACATGTCGGCCGCGACCGCGACCGCTGCCCACCGCCGGAGCATGGGCTGCAAGCGAGCGCTGCTGCTCCGGCCCTTCGTGATGATGGCCGCGACGACCTGGCTGTCCACGAGGTGGAGCCAGCGGCTGCAGTGGCGGCGAGCGGCGCGAGCCCGCCACCGAAGCGCCGCGAGCGCGGCCTGCAGCTCCCTGACGTTGATGTGCGCCTGCTGCCGCTTGGACCAAGCTATACTCAGCACGACTCGCCACTTCCACACGAACGGGTCCAGCGACGATCTGGGCCACCCCTTCGGTCGGTACGGCAGGTTCACGTCGAGACGCACATCGCTCCCGCCCTTCTCGGACCTGGCGAGGTAGCTGAGGAGCAAGAGACGGCTGGCTTCGGTCTCTGGCTCCCCCGCGTCGCTCTCGAAGCAGCCCGCTTCGTCCCAAGACGGCGTGCATTCGCCGACGTGCCCCAGCTCCTGCATGGACAGTGGGCGCGTCACAGCTCCCAGGCTCAGCAAGAGCCACTGCAGCAGCCAAGCGACCGAGAACACATTGAAGCTGTTGCCCAGTAGGAAGGACCTGGCGTCGTCGCTATCCTGCTGGTTCGAGCCCTTCGTGGCTACAGCCGTGTAACGCACGTCGAATCCCATCATCCTCTCCCGCTCGGAGCTCGAAGGGACTCGCAAGGACCCGTCGCTGTCCTGCAAGAGGTTTTTCTCTTCGTAGAGCGCAACATGGTAGCGATGCGAATCCGACTGCCAGCGAGCGAGCGCCTCGGGCGAAGCACTCTTCACCCCGCGCGGCGCTGAAGGGTAGCCTCGCTGAGGCCTGCTGCACACGAGGGTGGGGTAAGGCCCAGGCTCGCCCAGCCAGCGCGCGCCAGGATCCCGCCAATCCAAATTCAACAGGGGCGGCTCACTGCAGCTGACGACGAACATATCTTCGCGCTCCTGGAGGACCAGCGGCGGG